CCTAAGGTTAAAAGTCATGAACGGATCACTCAATACCGTCATATTGCCCTCTGTAACACTAGTTATAATATCATCAATAAAATTATTGTCTCACGTATTCGCCCATACCTTGATACCATTATCAGCCCCTATCAAAGTAGTTTTATCCCAGGTCGTCACACTATTGACAATGCTATTATTGTTCAAGAAGCGATTCATACATTCAAAACCAAAAAGGGCAGTCGAGGAAACATGCTTCTTAAAATTGACCTCGAAACAACTTTTGATCGCTTAGAATGGTCCTTCATTAAATATTCACCATCCAGACTCAATTTTCCTCCTCGCATCATAAATCTTATTATGAATTGTGTTACATCCTCTACTATCTCTATTCTTATAAATGGACACCCTACTCCTTTCTTTTCCCCTACACGAGGGAATCGTCAAGGAGGTCCCTTATCCCCATATCTATTTATCATTTGTATGAAAATTCTAACTCGATTTATTGATCTCTCCATCACAAACCATGAATGGACACCTATCAAGCTATCCCGCAATGGACCTCATTTATCTCATTTGTTATTTGTTGACGATTTAATTCTTTTCTCTTGAGAAACTCCACAAAACGCAACGTCAATTCATTTGGTCTTAGACTTATTTGGTACCTTGGCAGGTCAAAAAATTAACAATAACAAATCTCAAATTGTATTTTCACCAGATACTCCTCTAACGCACGCAAGACACAATTTCTGACATTTTGGATATGCGTACCTCATCCCATGTTAGTAAATACCTTGGCCTCCCAATTACTAACCTTCAACCCAAGAGTCGGGACTATAAATACATCCTTGACCGAATGAACAATCGACTTCAAGGTTGGAAAAACAAATTTCTCAATCTTGCAAGTCGCACGACTTTAATTAAATCTGTCTTGGCTTGTATACCCACGTATGCGATGCAATACACAATACTTCTTTTTAAGATTACCAACCATATTGATAAAATCCAACGTAACTTCCTTTGGGGATCCACCGCTATACACCGAAAAATTTACCTAGTAAATTGGGAGCAAGTTACTTTACAACGTGCACATGGAGGACTAGGCATTCAAAAATCCAAGGGCAAAAATTTATCCCTTATTGCTGGATTGGCTTGGCGTTTTCGTCGTAAAACCAACTCTCTTTAGCTAGAATTATCACCTCCAAGTACAAATCAACCTCTCTCCTGGCCGCTACTCCCCTTCCAAGGCCACGAGATTCATGTACCTGGAAAATTCTCCACAAAGGCCTTTCCTTTATTGTGCCAGCAATTAAGTGGCACATTGGCACCGAAACCTCTATTAACATCTGGAATGATATTTGGCTACCCAATAACTCCACGCTTCGTAGCCTTATCCATGGTCCTTTAACTCTTAATGAATAATTCCTTACACTAGATCACCTTCTATCCAATGGTAATTGGGACATCAATACCCTTTCCTTTGAAATACCTGAAGATCTCTCTTTTCCCATCCACAATACGTACTTTAATCCTACTTCTCCACGGCCTGATACATATTGTTTGCTTGCTAATTCTACAGTCTCCTTCTCCGCTAAATCAGCTTACCACCTTTGTCTTGCCACACATTATAATCTTCCTGCCAACCCGCCTGATATCAAATGGATTTGGACCCTTCATATCCCTAATAGAATTAATATTTTTCTTTGGCTACTCATTCTTAATCGGCTACCTACTGCTTCATATCTGTCATCTATTAATGTTCTTTACCACCCTCACTGCCACTCTTGTGCGAACATACCTGAATCCTTCCATCATCTTTTCTTTGAGTGCATTAATTCCCATACCATTTGGAAATTCTTTAATATTAACACTACTAACGTTATTTCCCTCACTGCTTGGCTTAGAATGCATTGTACCAACACTCACCAGTCTTTCATCTACTAAGGAATTGAAGTTCCAAAAACATTACTTACCCCTTTCATCCTTTGGCATATCTGGACCAACTGAAATCACAACCTCTTCAATAACTTGCATACACATGTCTCTGTAAAAAATATTCTCCTCCATGTGATCGAATTTTATTACCTCACTCCATCTCCAACTCCCCATCCCATTTCCACCCTCGAATATATTAAATGGCACCCGCCCACATCACCTTTTTTAAAACGTAATGTTGACGGCGCTTTTAATCCCATCACTAAGATAGGTGGTAGTGCTGGAGTATTTAGGAACAATCAATGCCAGTGGATTCGTGGTTTTTCCAAAAAAACATCCCGTGCTCATCAGCACTCGAATCAGAATTACAAGCCTTGTTGATAGGATTGAAAATTTCTCAACAATTCCACCTATATCCACTATAGATAGAAACAAATTCTCAGGTAATGCAAAGAGTTTTGTACGCGGGGACTGATATTTACTTGCCTATTATTTTGGAATGCAGGTCATTACTAATAATGCTAGGACATCCGGAGCTTCAACATATTTATCGTGAAGCCAACACTGTAGCGGATCTACTGGCTAAGTAAGGCATGACTTTAGCTCCTTGCGCAGGCCATCAACGTTGTCATCCTCTACATTATGAAGAACCCCTCTTTATGCTTCACTTGCTTACAGTAATGACTGTTCCGAAACTTGTATAGCCAGAACAACCCCCGTGTAAAACCTCTACTACTTGTCTTTCTTAACTTTTAATAAATATATGTATTAGCAACAAACAAAAAAAAGCATAGAGCACTGTGATCCTTTTGAGTAAGGGTGAGGTTAAAAGAAAAAGAATTAACAGTAGTATTAGTCTTGCTTAGACACTTAAATTATTTTGCGTCTTCTCCATTTTACTTTAGTACTATCTTTTATTTCGTCATTTTACTTTAATATCTGCTCACCTTTAGTTCATGTACTAAAATTAGGGGTGTCAAAAGTGGTCCAAACCCATTTGACCCGCCCAGATTTTAATGGATTGGACATGAACTACTTTAATGATGGGCTAAATTTGGGCACAACCCAACTAAACCCATTTATTTTTAGAAGTCCAAATCAACCCATAATTTTATCCCAAACTGACTCATGAATAGCTATTGCCTTTTAAAACTTCTGAGGGTGTGTTTGGTACGAAGGAAAATAATATTTTCCTAGAAAATGAGTGATTTTATCACTTATTTTCCCATGTTTGGTTGGTGAGTGAAAAACTTTTTTCGAAAAATATTTTCTAGTATTTGGTTAGAGTGTCAAAAATATTTTTTAGGAAAATAATTTTCTATGCTACTCTCCTTGACCCCCTCCATCCAACTCCTCATGTTTCCTGTGCCCCCTCCCCCCAAATACCTCATTTTACTTTAAAAATTCAATTATTCTTTTAAAAATTCACAAAAAACGAAAGGAACTAATGTGCTGCTTTACTTTTTCACACAAGAACAACGTTGAAATTTGAACTTCATAACTGAAAAGAAAATACTCTTTTTCTTGTTGAAACAAAACAAAAGTACTATTTCTACTATATGAAAAGAAAGTGCTCATTTTATTGAAATGAACGAAAATATTTTTTCTACAACATGAAAAGAAAGTAGCTATTTTGTGAAAAAGAAAATACTTTCTCTACATCATAAAAAGAAAGTAGTTATTTTGTTAAAATAAAAGAAAATATTCTAAATAATATTTCTATTTAGGGTGAGGGTAGGGGTGGGGTGG